GAGAGAGAGAGAGAGAGAGAGAACGAGAACAAAACCGCAACACAAGAAAGAGAAGAAAAACAAAACGAAGGATGAGCGAATTCAGCACGTTGACGAAATAAGGAATCCACATATCTTTTTGGATGAAAATTAGTCGCCGAGTGAGAAGCGACTCCTTCGACGAAAGAACAGAGTCAGAGGCGACAGAACGAAGAAGCGACTCAGAAGCAACTCTCCGGCGAAAGAACGAAGATCGTCAATAATCCACGAAGCCCGGATCGCTTCTTGCGCAAACGTTCACTATGCCGAATTACTTCTTCGGGGAAAAGGTACCCATCCCACCCGCGACAGAAGGTTTGTACTTGCCCCCTCGAAGGGTCGGAGGCCCCGAAGGCTTGAGGCGCGGGGGGTACCCGTAACTTTCGCCACCAGCTTTCGGGGGGCTGTACGACGTTTTGCCACGGTCCAGGGGCAAACCAGTACAAACGGTGTCTATCGGGGGCATCTAATTCACTGTCGACAATGACGGTCGATGCTTAAAGAGCTATTCTTCTCCTTGTCGAACGAAGCTCAAAACCAGTTCTTCTTTGCCCTCTTCTTCCTCTTCTTCTTCTTCTTCTTCTTCTTCTTCTTCTTTTACGTCCTCACTCGAAAACCAGTTCTTTTTCTTCTTCGTCTTCTTCTTCTTCTTCTTTTACGTCCTCACTCGAAAACCAGTTCGTTGTGTGACATTGTGTGACATTATGTGTGTCGTGCGTTACGATCACGTTCATGGGGTCATGCATAAACGTCCTCCCAATGGGAAAAAAAAAAAAAAAAAAAAAGAAACGTCCTCCCAATTGGAAACATACGGAAAGAAACGCGAACACACGCAAACAAACTGAATGAAATGCCGATGGCCTTGCCACGGAAAACTTAGTGTCTTCACCTTCCACAGGCTGCACATTTTCTGCTGGAACTGGCATTCGCCTCCATTCTGAGATTGTGAAAGCGAGCGCCATACCCGTTGCTTCCCCAGTCCTTTTCCTTTACACCCACAAACCGAACCGTAACGAGAAATGCCTGCTGGCGACATTCCCCCTAGCAGACGAAATCCCCTACTGGCTGCCCTCTTGCAGTACATGGCCCGTGTCTTCGTCCTCCTCCTCCTCGTCCACTTGATATCAAGACGGAAGCTCACACTCGTTCGCTACCCCGCTTCGGTGGCTCCAGCCTCCAGATATCAAGACATCGGAATGAGACGTTATCTCCGCCGGTTTCCGCAGGTCAGCTCGACGATCCTTTTCACTCCGAAATCCAGCGGTTGAGCGGAGGAGGCAGCGCGAGCAAAGTCCAGCTGGACTGCCCTTTTCACTCCGAAATCGAGCGCTTGAGAGTCATTGTGGTGTGTAATGAAGCGTTATCTCCGCCGGCTTCCGCCACAAGCAGGTCCAGCTCGAGGACCCTTTTCACTCCGAAATCGTGCGCTTGAGCGGAGGAGCCAGCGCAAGCTTCCGCGCAGAGAGAACAGACTACTCCATAACTTCGCAACAACACGCACGTATCGAGAAATGGTCCCAAATTTAAATTATTTTAAAAAGAGAACCAAGCAACCCCCTGGCTGTTCGGCCGTGGAGTTCAGTTCAAATTCGTTCCGTTGAGGCTTCCCCCCCGCCCTCCCTCCCTCCC